TTACCTATTGAGGTCGAGGAGTTCTGTTTATCTCTTTCTGTTTCTTCTTTCGCATTCTCTTTGGAAGTGGAAGGAGAGAGAAGAAAAGAGGAAAGAAGAGAGAGGGAGAGAATGTGAAGGGAAGAAAGGGAAAGAAGGAGAAAGGGAAAGAAGGAGGGAGGATAGAAAGACAAGATGACAAGATTAAGGAAGTGATAAGGAATAAGAATGAAAGAAGAGGTAAGGAGGAGATGGATAAACAAAGGAAACAGAATCGGGAGATAAGAAAGACGAGAAGAAGAGAAGAAGAAGAGAAGTAGATGATAGATGACGTTACAGTTCAAAAGATTAAAAAGAGAAACTAACTTAGACTTTCGTGACCTCATTTGGAGATAAAAGCCTGAAAAAAATACGACCTTGAACATTTTAATTAATATAAAATGTCTAAACAAACCTTCCAGGCTTAAGGTTCATCGATAGATATAAAGGTCTATTATCATTAAGGGATGAGAAATGAGAGACATATGAGCAGGAATTAATACTGTGTGTGTGTGAGGGAGAGAGAGAGAGAGAGAGAGAGAGAGAGAGAGAGAGAGAGAGAGAGAGAGAGAGAGAGAGAGAGAGAGAGAGAGAGAGAGAGAGAGAGAGAGAGAGAGAGAGAGAGCGAAAGCGAGAGCGAGAGAGAAAGAGAGAGAGAGAGAGAGAGAGAGAGAGAGAGAGAGAGAGAGAAAGAGAGAGCGAGAGCGAGAGAGAGAGAGAGCGAAAGCGAAAGCGAGAGCGAGAGAGAGAGAGAGAATGAGAGAAAGAGAGAGAAAGAGAGAGAGGTGAATGGAAAGACAGACGGATAGATAAACGGAGAGAGAAATAACCACAATGACCTGAATAAACACAATCATATATTTACCAATTTATTCCAAATCTCACTAATTTGAAATTCGAGACAAACTTTCTCGTATCATTTCTTTCGCTCTGTCTATAATAAATTCACACGAAGGAATTTTTAGAAGCTGAAATAAATTTTAGGCACGCACTTTAGGCATAAATTTTCCTTAGTCCTTTATAATTCCTTATATATCTGCCACATCAATTTGCATTAGCATGAGAAATTGCAGAATTGTATTCTATGAGAAAATATTTTTGACCTTTTTATTCTGCTTTACAATTTTTTTTTTTTACATTATTTTTTGTAAGTCCGTATCTCCTGTTTTTTCTCGGCAGTATTATAAGTTGAAAATCTATACTTTCGAAATATAATATGAATTTTATTAAATCTTTTAAGGCAAAGGCGAATTATAGATTTATACGTAGATGATAAATTCAATTGAAAATAATAAAATCGGTAAAAAAAAAATGTTTGTTGCTGTTTCGTAAATAGAAAGAAAAGTGAAGAAGGATATAAACAGAAATAGAACTATCAATATAAATATAAATATAAGCAGAAAGAAAAGAAGAAGAATAACAAAAAAAAAGAAAAAGAAAAGAAAACGAATTAAAGAAAAATAATAAAGGACTTACAAAAGAGAAACAGGACGAAAAAACACAAGAAAAAGACGAAAGAATAGAAAGGAACAGAATAAGAAAAAAATATAATAGTTTATAATTATACTTCGAAAGTAGTTATTCATTTAATGGACATGAAATGGAGGAGGAGATTCAGAAAGAAAAGATGAAAGCAAATAAGAACAATGAAAAATAATAAAGTAAAGTAAAGTAAAAAGACAATGAAAGAAGAACAAAAAAAAATAAGGAAGAGGAAAAAGTGGAGAAGAATAAAAGAGGGTGAAACAACAAAGCAACAAAAAAAGGATCCAAAGAATAAGTGAAAAAAAACGGAATAAAAAAAAAATAGATAGAGAAGCCTCAGTGATGTTACATTAAGCAATTATCAATTAAATGAACGACATAAGCCCCTTGAAGAAATATAAACAACAATAAAACAAAACAAATACGGCAAAACAATAAATCTCAATCTCTCTCTCTTCTTTCTCCCCCTCTCTTCTTTCTCCACCCTCTCTCTTTCTCCCCCTCTCTCTTTCTCCCTCCCTCGCCGTCCCTATCCATCCACCTCCTCCCACCCCCCTTCTCTCTTTCTTTCTCTATTCCATACACACCTCGGGAGAGTAACGGGCAGTAATTGAGATGATAGTAGCCATGTACCTGCAGTGGCGTGTCTGTCAGCTGTTACTTACTGTAGTGGTGTGTCTGCTGCACCGCTGAGTAAACGTTTGTCTGTTGTTTTTTTTCTGTTTCAGTTTTTTTTTTTATTTATCTATTTTTTGTGTATGTGTGTTTTGAGAGAGAGAGAGAGAGAGAGAGAGAGAGAGAGAGAGAGAGAGAGAGAGAGAGAGAGAGAGAGAGAGAGAGAGAGAGAGTGAGTGAGTGAGTGAGAGAGAGAGAGAGAGAGAGAGAGAGAGAGAGAGAGAGACAAACAGAGAGAGACAAACAGAGAGAGACAAACAGAGAGAGAGAGAGATAGACAGAGAGAGAGAGAGAGAGAGAGAGAGAGAGAGAGAGAGAGAGAGAGGGAGAGAGAGAGAGAGAGAGAGAGAGAGAGAGAGAGAGAGAGAGAGAGAGAGAGAGAGAGAGAGAGAGAGAGAGAGAGAGAGAGATAGACAGATAGTTAGATAGATAGATAGGTAGATAGATTGATAGAGAGAAATAGATAGATAGATAGATAGATAGAGAGAGAGAGAGAAATAGATAGATAGATAGACAGGTTGACAGAGAGATAGAAAAACTGACAACCTATAAAAACGCATACATCGAAATAAAGATATAGATCTGACAAGACACAAAGAAAAATGAAAATAAAAAACACATTCCGGATTTCGCCAGACCATATCAGACAATCGAAGCAGGTCATGCGAAAAAAAAGAAACGAACGATAAGCAGACACATGGATGAACAGACAAACAGACAGACAGACAGTCAGACAAAGAAACAAAATGATAATTGAGCTGCTATGCAATAACAATGTGCCATCATATGTACTAAGCTAATGGATGTAATTTCTGTGTGCGTGACGAAACGCCTTTAGCAAGAAGAAGAAGAAAATGAAAAAGAAGAAGAAGAAGAAGAAGAAGAAAATGACAGATAAAAGCCATTAAGATTTAAAATTAACGAAGACAAATGTTGAGAAAATTATTATGAATCGTTATTTGATGGACGTGAATGATATGATTTGCAGGATCGATCATAACGAAAGAGAAATAAAAGGAGAAAACAAGAGGAGAAGAAAACAAAGGAAAAATCATAGAAAGAATAAGAAAAAGAAACGTGAGAAGGGAGGAAAGAGAAAGAAAAAAATGGAATAAAAGAAAATGGAAAGAAAACTTAATAAAGGAGAAACTTTATATTTCTTCATTCTTATTTTCGCCATGAGATTTTTTTTCAGTATGTAATATATCTATCTATATCTATATCTATATTTATATCTATCTATCTATCTATCTATACACACACACACGCATATATGTGTGTGAGTGTGTGTGTGTATACATACACACGCATATATTCAGAGCGAAGTTTATTACACATACACTTACGCATATATCTCACCCCTCTTAACCTCGCCCCCACACTAAAGCCAACATAATTTCTATCTAATTGTTAACTTT